GGGGGGGGGGGGGGGGGGGGGGGTTGACGTCCTGTCGGGGGCTTTACAAGAGAATACATTGTGGTGATTTAGGGAGCCCGAGGTCAGGTGGACTGACAAGCTGTCGCCTGACAAAGATTATAGGCGAGCTTTGAGGAGGAGGGAAGGAGGCCTGCAAATGAGGAGAATTGAATTGGCAGTGAGGGGAGGAAAGCAGAGTGCGAGATGGAAAAGATTGATTGGAAAGTGAGGGCGAGCATGACAGCAAGCTCAGAGTTGGCCGTAAGTCGCAGCCATCTTGTTGTACCATCCCCCCCAGCCACAACCACAAGCCAGTACACGGACACAAATTTGCCATGCAATGGTGTCTTGCGAAACAACTAACCCAACTTACAAGTCTTTGCTTTGAATTTGGAGCAAATAAATGCGGCTACAAAAGCTTTAGTTTACTGTCACACTAAACATCGAATATCACTTGTATTTGAAAAAATCACATCGCTTTGCCTTGAAGTCCATTTACTTTAATGCTAACAAAAGGCAATCGATAGGCTAACATAGTAGCATCGTTGTCTGTGTTTGAACCCTTTCAGCATCCGACATTGAAACACAAACTGCAGAATGAAACACCTTACCTGTCTGGAGGAAGTACATCTGAGTGCACGATGAAAAAGTATGAGAAAAATTACAACAATTCGTAATTATGTGATTGAACTCAAAATATTACCCAATGCAAAAGTTGTACAAAAGAATCAGCCTAATGTTACTGAAAATCCTAACTATAAAAAAAGAAATGTCGTTTGAGGGATAAGAATGTGTAGCAAATCTAAATTAAAATGAAAAGATGAGAATCAAACATGGGTGCCATTTTGACTTTCAGATGCCAAAGGCCTGGACATAAACTCCATGTTATGACCTTTTTGCTGGCCTGTTTTATTTTTGTCTCTGTGACAAAAGTGTCTTTGTGTGAGTGGCAGAAAATCCCCGGCAGTGTATCTTCATCAGCAGCACTATGAAAGACGCGTTATTGCCGCCATCACTGAGGAGAATGGTCCACTAAATTGAGCTTCTGTTTGCTGCATTTCCTGAAAGACTTCGTGAAAAAGGCCGTTGATGCCAAACAGCCCTGTGTTAGGAGCCTCCACTTTTGCATGTACCAACAGCATCACATTTTTAGTTTCAAGTAACAATTGGCAACATTGGTTTGGCACAACGTCAACAACCCCATGTACTACTTTATGGGGTTGTTGTCCGCGTTATACTGCCCCCAGGTGGCCAAGGTGTGCACATCAGAAGGAGAAGCACAATGTCCGTTGAACTGAAGCAAAAATGTAGCAAAAACTGTTTTATTCTTGATATTATCTTCAACTTTGTCATGCCCTTACATTTTTAATCAAGTGAAATATAAATGACTGCTATTTCTTTGGATAAAATACACATTACTATGACTTTTTCTTCTCAATTAAACAGAGAACCGACGAAGCTTAATCAACGTCTGATGTAGTTGATGTGCGTTTTTGGTAGTGATTCATGAAGTTAGATGTCAGAGTGGTTGCGTCTCTTTCAGTTACAAAGCACACCATTGTTTTTATCTTGATTTTTATCAACAACACACAGAGCTCGAAACGGGCATGGGGGGGATACAACAAGTTTCACATGCGCACCAGAAAGTTTCCTCGTGATCACCCAGAAAATTGTGTGTTGTGTCCCTTGTGGGGTTAGGCATTGAATGCAAATCCAATAATTTGTCGATGTCCCTCCATGATTGTTGCTTCAGAGGCCGTCTCTGCACTCAGCATTACAGCAGACTGGTGGGTTGCCAGGTTGGCGCGCCACATGAAAAAAAGTACATTTTCTTGGCAGATTTTCAAATAAAAACAGACAAGACGTGTCCAGAATATCCATCGTAAGTTAATGTGACAAGGGAAAACGCCCAAAAGACTGAATACGTTTGTGCCAGCCCTAGCGAGTCTCTCAGTGTGGTCGTAGTTGAAGATGAGGCCCACTCATCTTGTTTCGTGTTGCTGCTGCTTTTATTCTGGTTGGTTGCTACTTTTTGTTTTTTGTTCCATTATGGCTGGTTGCCTGGATAGAAAAGTTATCTGGCAGCTTTTGTGAACAAATGACTTTGATTCGGATTGTCTATGACCATTTGTGTCAAATGGTATTTGGTGACTCTCAAGAGCAGTGGTTCTTAACCTTGTTAGAGGTACCGAACCCAACCAGTTCATATGCACGTTCACAGAACCCTTCATTAGTGAAAAATAAACATTGGATTTCTTACAAATTCAAGACATTGAAAAAACACATTTATTAAAAACAGAAAAAAGTTTAAAAAATTACATGGCCTAAGTATATATTTTTTTAAATCGTATGTGACAGTCACACGGTGACTACTGAGCGAACTAAATTTCCCGCAGCACTGATTGGACAAGCAATGTAATATGATCATCTGCAGCCAGTGATGGCCAAGCGGGCGTGTCATAACTATTTGACATGTTGAGTCGGGTGTGTCTTAACCTCCATGGCAGAGGCCCCGTCGAATCCCTGAGACAGATTCACCAAACCCCTAGGGTTTGGTCGAACCCAGGTTCAGAACCACAGCAATAGAGGTTTTCAATTGGCAATGTGTGTTGTGTTTCAGCAGTCATTAATAAATTAATCTTACATTTTGTTTGTATTCAGTGACTTTTTTTTTTTTACAGTTAATATAAAACATCAAGTTTAATTACTCATCAAGATTCTGACAGGTGTTTACGAGACTCATAATTCTGACTTACTTTTTGTTCAATTAGCAGCAGCGTTATCTTCACTTATATTTTGTAAAGAACGGTGAAGGAATCCCACTCCCAACTTTGATGACATTGCTCAAACTATTCATTAATGCGCTGCGGTAATGTTGGTTTTCTGATGTATTGATTTGTTGCTGCATTTTTAATGAGCCTTGGAGTGGGAGCAGGGGGAGTTTGGCACAGTTGTTTGGCTTTTAAGCGCCATCGCAATGTTCACATAGAATGTTTCCATGCTGCCTTTTTCAAAATAATCACCTTGACAGTCGGGATATAGTAAGCACAAACATACAGGAAATGTTTCTCCAGTAATAAGAGAACAAGAGCCACTCTGGTATTACAGTAATAAGCAACTGTAACAAAAAAGAACATTTCAGACATAATGCACATACCGTGGTACAGAGACTCATTACACAGTGTAACGATTCAGTGACATTGACATTTAAAAAAAAAAAAAGTGGATTAAAAAAAAAAATCCAGACTTTCCATGCCAGTGCAAAAGATTACTCAAAAATGTGCAGTTGCAGAACAAATGCATACAAATGAATATTTTGCAATACTGCAAGGATAAGGTCACAATATTGCAATTAGAAAACTCACAACCTAACACCCCCAATGAAAAACAACATTATCATGTAGAGTACATTGAAAAGTTAAAATGGAAAACATCATTTTCTAATCCTTTATGGATAGAAAATAAATAATTCAAATGACTAAATCAGAACAAAAGAAAAAAATTCTTTTCACTTGATACTTTTTAAAAAAAATTCTCGTACAGCATTACAATTTAATTTTGAGCAACATTATTCCCATAACTTCCTCACAACTGTTTTTTTTTTTTTTCCCCCTCCAGTGTGGCAAAATTTGACTTTGTCGAGAGACACCTCCGACCATTACAGGTAAAGTACTTTTATTAATCTTATATATTTGTGTAAACCTACGGCCGCAGTTGCTGGCCATGCTTGTTTATTTGTCATGTTTACATGACTTAAGTGCACTGATTTTGTTCTCTTCCAGCACGTCATTTCTGTAAGTGAGGTGCGACACACATTAGCTGGCTTGGCGTCCTCATGTGCGCTTTCTACGTTGCGCTGCGTCAGGCCTCATACGTTCATTAGGCTCGGATTACAGACAGTGGGAGGAGATCAGGCTTTTAGTGGGTTGTAATCCGCATACGCGGCCCTAATTTAATCTCACCTCCCGTGCCAACCCATTACACACTACGCCCACTGCATACGGGATGCTCCCACATGAGACAAAGATGTTGGAGCAGGAGTCGGCTCCGGAGAAAGAAATGTCAAGATGCAAGGAAATGGCAGGGAGAATGAAGCGCCTCAGGAGAAGATTTCAAGTAGAAGGGTTGAATGTGTTGATTTGATGTCACGGATACGCTGAGTGAAATCCAACACAAAAGTGGCATTGAAAAGGATAATGCTGAATTTTATTGATGCTCCCTGACTGGTATTAACAATAGCGACTGGCCTATAAAGTGAGCTTGATTCACCAATCACGAGACGAAGGAGATGTGATTTTTTTGTATTTTTCAATGGGCGGGGTCAATATTATATTGTGATGATGAAAGGGACAGTAAATTTTTTACCTGAATGAACTCTTGTTCAAAATACATGCGCAGTAGTTCTTTTTCGGTATTAGAGCATTTGAGAGCTGATTGGGCTCAATTTTGCGTTTTGGTGTTCGGCGGCATGTGAACTTCCTGTCACTGCTGTCTGCTAGAATTACCCAAGGTTGGCGTGAATGATTTATGAAGAATTGTCCTATTCCGCAGGACAACTTCTTAGAATACGCTTGAAAAGGGTGGACATCTCATCGTACCTCAGCAGCTTTCAAGGTAAGTTTGCTAACATTGATTGCGAGTTTACTCCCTGCTCATCATGCAAATGCTGCATTGACTTGATGGGCTTTCTGGTCATTGGCTAGAAATACATGCTGTGCTTCTTTGTTGTCTCTAGCTTGATCTTCATATGCTGCAATACTATTGCAGTGACTTCTATAATAATGATAATAATTACTGTATATATACCTGTGTGTGTGTGTGTGTGTGTGTGTGTGTGTGTATA